TACTCTTACAGACACAATCAAATGCCTTCTCCAAGTCCACACAACAAATGTAGGCTGGTTGGGTGAACTCCCATACACCCCACCATATCCTTGAGATGATAAAGAGCTGTGTTCCGCACCCAGGAGGAAAACCACATTGTTTCTTCTGTACTAGAGGTTTGACTAACTCACAGACTCCTCTTTCCAGCAGCCTGGCATAGGATTTTCTGTGGAGGCTGAGGAGTGCAATTCCCATATAATTGAGCACACCCTCTTATCCCCTTTCTTGAAGATGGGAAGCACAACCCAGGTCTGCCAATTCAGAGGTACAGCCCCAGATCTCAACGCAACACTGTAGAGGCATCTCAACCAAGATAGCCCTACAACATCCACATCATTGAGGAACTCAGGGTGAACCTCATCCACCCCAGGGGCCCTACCACCAAGGAGTTGTTTAACTGCTTCAGTAACCTCGCTCCTGGTTATGCATGAGTATCTTCAGTCGAAGTCAGCAACACTCCACGCACACTATACACAGTGTTGGTAAAGCTCCTGTCCAGGATACTGGTTCCAGAGCCCAAGATATGCATTGAGGTGAGCCTGACTTTATCTGTCTGGTACCTCTCAATCTCACACAATATCTCAGGCTCCTTCCCCAATACAGGCGACGTTTCATGTCTCCATCGCCAGCCTCAGTAGACAGGCATCGGTCTGCCAGTGTCTCCACCCTTGGCCACCACTGGCACACATTGCACCCGACCCCTACGGTGCCTCCAATCTCCCTTGTTCAGGCCGCCCCAGGCTGACCCCATGTGCTGAGGCCCAGCCTCCAGGTTCCCACCATCAGGTGCCATCCCCAAACCTGGCTCCAGGGTGGGGCCCCAGTAACCCACTCCCAGGCAGGGTAAACTGTTGGCTCACAGTGTATAAACATAGCTTAATAATTTTTTTTACTCCCTTACCCTGTCTGTCAGGTTCAACAAATATGTGGAAGTGGGATATGCTACTATTCCCCAAATGGACAAATGAGATCCAGTAGCGAGTTTCAGTAGTGACTTACTGGCAGG